TTCCACTACAGCCCCGTCGATGAGAATGGGGGCGTGCTCAGTCCTCTTTTTTTTCCTGTAGTCCACAATCATCTCCTTTGTCTTGATCATGTTGAGGGAGAGGTTGTTATCCTGGCACCACACGGCCAGGTCTCGGACCTCCTCCCTATAGGCTGTCTCATCGTTGTCTGTGATCAGGCCTACCACTGTTGTGTCGTCAGCAAACGTAATGATGGTGTTGGAGTCGTGCCTGGCCATGCAGTCATGGGTGAACAGGGAGAACAGGAGGGGACAGAGCACGCACTCCTGAGGGGCCCCCGTGTTGAGGATCAGCGTGGCAGATGTGTTGTTACCTACCCTTACCACCTGGGGGGCGGCCCGTCAGGAAGTCCAGGATCCAGTTGCAGAGGGAGGTGTTTAGTTCCAGGATCCTTAGCTTAGTGATGAGCTTTGAGAGCACTATGGTGTTGAACGCTGAGCTGTAGTCAATGAACACCATTCTCACGTAGGTGTTCCTCTTGTCCAGGTGGGAAAGGGCAGTGTGGAGTGCAATAGAGATTGCATCATCTGTGGATCTGTTGGGGCGGTATGCAAATTGGAGTGGGTCTAGGGTTTCTGGGATAATGGTGTTGATGTGAGTCATGACCAGCCTTTCAAAGCACTTCATGGCTACAGACGTAGTCATTTAGGCAGGTAATCTTTGTGTCCTTGGGCACAGGGACTATGGTGGTCTGCTTGAAACATGTTGGTATTACAGACTCAGTCAGGGACATGTTGAAAATGTCAGTGAAGACACTTGCCAGTTGGTCAGCACATGCTCGGAGTACACGTCCTGGTAATCCGTAGAAGTGATTTAGCTCGTCTGGTAGGCTTGTGTCACTGGGCAGCTCGCGGCTGTGCTTCCTTTTGTAGTCTGTAATAGTTTTCAAGCCCTGCCACATCCGACGAGTGTCAGAGCCGGTGTAGTACGATTCAATCTTAGTCCGGTATTGACTCTTTGCCTGTTTGATAGTTCATCGGAGGGCATAGCGGGATTTCTTATAAGCGTCCGGGTTAGAGTCCCGCACCTTGAAAGTGGCAGCTCTACCCTTTAGCTCAGTGCGGATGTTGCCTGTAATCCATGGCTTCTGGTTGGGGTATGTACGTACGGTCACTGTGGGGTCTTAGGTGTATGTTAGTGAGCACCCGATCTGTCCTCTCTCAGACGTGGCCCCAGGACAGTTGTACACCTACACATCCCGCAGGTGGAGGAAGAAACGACAAGCCCACACCTCAGAAGATCCCCGGCTCGTCTTCCCTCCTCTGAAATCAGGTACGTCCTTATCATGGGATACTGCTCAGCTTAATAATACTAAAGCTGTGTTGACATTTTTGTGTGCCCCTCTGCACGATTTTTCTGTTTGTTCTTTACTCATTTGTAAAGGTTGTTTGTGGTTCTCCCTGTCTGTAGAGCTGGACCTGGGGTTGAAGAAGGATTCCCTGTCATCATCTGATGGCAGCAGTCTGGAGGCCCTTCTGAAGGGAGAACCCCTGGACAAGCGGGGTCCTCTGGAGCTCCGAGGGCCTGAGGAGGAGTCAAGTCTGGCAGACTACACTGAAGGGGCAGTCACCCCTGCAGCACGTGTCAGAAAGGTACCATAGCCTTCTGTGGTTGGAGGGACCGTGTGTGATACCTAGCTTGTTTATTAGTCCTCCAATGACATTAGCTACAAAGCGGCAGCTCTACCCTTTAGCTCAGTGCGGATGTTGCCTGTAATCCATGGCTTCTGGTTGGGGTATGTACGTACGGTCACTGTGGGGACGACGTCATCAATGCACTCAATAATAAATAATAATAATATGCCATTTAGCAGATGCTTTTATCCAAAGCGACTTACAGTCATGCGTGCATACATTTTTACTTATGGGTGGTTCCGGGGAGCGAACCCACTACCCTGGCGTTACAAGCGCCATGCTCTACCAATTGAGCTACAAAGGACCACATTGATGAAGCCAGTGACTGATGTGGTGTACTCCTCAATGCTATCTGAAGAATCCCGGAACATATTCCAGTCTGTGCTAGCAAAACAGTCCTGTAGTTTAGCATCTGCATCATCTGACCACTTTTTTATTAACCGAGTCACTGGTGCTTCGTGCTTTAGTTTTTGCTTATAAGCAGGACTCAGGAGGATAGCGTTATGGTCAGATTTGCCAAATGGAGGGCGAGGGAGAGCTTTGTATGCGTCTCTGTGTGTGGAGTAAAGGTGGTCTAGAGTTTTTTTCCCTCTGATTGCACATTTAACATGCTGGTAGAAATTAGGTAGAACGGATTTAAGTTTCCCTGCATTAAAGTCCCCGGCCACTAGGAGCGCTGCCTCTGGATGAGCGTTTTCCTGTTTACTTATGGCCTTATACAGCTCATTGAGTGCAATCTTAATGCCAGCATCGGTTTGTGGTGGTAGATGGACAGCTACGAAAAATATAGATGAAAAGTCTCTTGGTAAATAGTGTGGTCTACAGCTTATCATGAGATACTCTAACTCAGGCGAGCAAAACCTAGAGATTTCCTTAGCATTAGACTGGAGCTTTCTCCAAAATCTCCAGTCCATCATGTCCACCTGCCTCCAGTCCATGGGGGCCATCATCCTCATGTTCACATTCCTCTTCATGTTTGCTGTCATTTTCCGAGAGATGTTCTACGAGCCTGTCCCGGAGAGCTTTGCACCATGTTCCGGACAGCATTCACCCTGTTTCAGCTGCTCACAATGTCTGTGTCAAGCATGGTCTAGAAGTTGGGGATCATCAGTTATCATCACATGATGTAACTACTTGAGGTCATGATGTTAACTTATTTTTTTTAAATGAAAGGTGAACCCATATTATAATCTTCCTTGTCCTGTACATTGTGGTGGAATACTTCACTTTCCTCAAGTGAGTAAGCTTAAAAATGTTGCAACAAAGACACTACGGTATGTTTATTGTCCATTGAGATTTTCCCTGCAGTGTCTATTCATTGCTGTCCTTGTCGACAACTTCCAACTGACAATCAAAAAACTGATGATGTCAAAAGATCCAAAAGGTATTCAGACCATGACAAACAATAAGGCAAGACAGATACTGGAGTAGATTTAGCTGAACATTGCATTCTTTCTGTATTTTCTACTTTAGTTAGACATATATGAGGACGAGATTCAGTCAATGAAGTTAGGTTGGTCCTACATTTTCAAAAGGCTACCACATAGCACATGTGGGTGAGGCTAAATGCAATCAATACACAAAGGCAAACTTCTGGAGTAGAGCACACTAAATACATTTTACTTCCATGTAAATGTATGTCTGCAAATGTCTAAACAGCCCAGGAATTGGTCTTCTGATTCAGCTCCTAAACTAAACTCAGCAAAAAAAGAAACTTACTCTCACTGTCAACTGCGTTTATTTTCAGCAAACTTAACATGTGTAAATATTTGTATGAACATTACAAGATTCAACAACTGAGACATAAACTGAACAAGTTCCACAGACATGTGACTAACAGAAATTGAAAAATGTGTCCCTGAACAAAGGGGGGGTCAAAATCAAAAGTAACAGTCAGTATCTGGTGTGGCCACCAGCTGCATTAAATACTGCAGTGCAGCTCCTCCTCATGGACTGCACCTGATTTGCCAGTTCTTGCTGTGAGATGTTACCCCACTCTTCCACCAAGGCACCTGCAAGTTCCCGGATATTTCTGGGGGGAATGGCCCTAGCCCTCACCCTCCGATCCAACAGGTCCCAGACGTGCTCAATGGGATTGAGATCTGGGCTCTTCGCTGGCCATGGCAGAACACTGACATTCCTATCTTGCAGGAAATTACACACAGAATGAGCAATATGGCTGGTGGCATTGTCATGCTGGAGGGTCATGTCAGGATGAGCCTGCAGGAATGGTACCACATGAGGGAGGAGGATGTCTTCCCTGTAATGCACAGTGTTGAGATTGCCTGCAATGACAACAAGCTCAGTCCGATGATGCTGTGACACACCGCCCCAGACCATGACGGACCCTCCACCTCCAAAATCGATCCCGCTCCAGAGTACAGACCTCGGTGTAACGCTCATTCCTTCGACGATAACCGCGAATCCGACCATCACCCCTGTTGAGACAAAACCGTGACTCGTCAGTGAAGAGCACTTTTTGCCAGTCCTGTCTGGTCCAGCGACGGTGGGTTTGTGCCGATAGGCGAAGTTGTTGCCATGATGTCTGGTGAGGACCTGCCTTACAACAGGCCTACAAGCCCTCAGTCCAGCCTCTCTCAGCCTATTGCGGACAGTCTGAGCACTGATGGAGGGATTGTGCATTCCTGGTGTAACTCGGGCAGTTGTTGTTGCCATCCTGTACCTGTCCCGCAGGTGTGATGTTCGGATGTACCGATCCTGTGCAGGTGTTGTTACACGTGCCACTGCGAGGACGATCAGCTGTCCGTCCTGTCTCCCTGTAGCGCTGTCTTAGGCGTCTCACAGTACGGACATTGCAATTTATTGCCCTGGCCACATCTGCAGTCCTCATGCCTCATTGCAGCATGCCTAAGGCACATTCACGCAGATGAGCAGGGACCCTAGGCATCTTTATTTTGGTGTATTTCAGTCAGTAGAAAGGCCTCTTTAGTGTCCTAAGTTTTCATAACTGTGACCTTAATTGCCTACCGTCTGTAAGCTGTTAGTGTCTTAACGACCGTTCCACAGGTGCATGTTCATTAATTGTTTATGGTTAATTGAACAAGCATGGGAAACAGTGTTTAAACCCTTTACAATGAAGATCTGTGAAGTTATTTGGATTTTTACAAATTATCTTTGAAAGACAGGGTCCTGAAAAAGGGACGTTTCTTTTTTTGCTGAGTTTACATTGTTTTGACCTTTTCAGGCAACTGAGGACATTCAGGGGAATGACCACGAATAGAGAAATAACAAGGGTGAAACTTGGTAAACAAAACAACCTTATTTCTCCATCAGTGATGACAACTGTCAGATATTATCCTTTGATAACTCATATTAAAGCAATGAAACCCAGTAAAAGTGTCCTGGTTTATTAGATGTGTAAAGCAATCTCTCTTTAAGGCTCTTATATCAAGCTCATCTGTTTGTTAGATTTATAGCCTTTTTCAATATGTAGCCAAACATTTTGAATCACCCATTCCCACCCTTTCCTTAAATCTAAACCACTTTCAAACCCATTCACTGTATTCATATAATACAAGAGAAGACAAATACATGTAGAATTTGTACTTAAATAGGAAGGGAAATAGAATAACTGTGTAAACATTAACACAATAACATAAAGTATGAATCACTTGTGACAAATCCCTTACAATACACACACAAATGTACAGTAAATAGTCTCATTAAATGACACGCATATTGTGTCAAATATGTGTTAGTTTTTTTTTTTAAGGACAGTCAACTGTAGAGGTATCCAAATATACTTTCTTGCAAGAGTTCAGCATGTCTTATTTTCTGTACTGAGCATCCCCGCACATCTCATTTAACATACAGAAATACAAAACCATTTAAAAAAATCCTTTATAAAACAGTATATTACAGTATATACAATTCCTACTGGTCACAAGCAGTTAGGGGTAAGATCTGTAATTCTCATAGTGGGTAGGATCAATGAGACTGTGGATATGTGTAGTCATAATCCAGGATTACATCCAAAACAATAACAGAGTTATTTTCACTAACATAAGCACATACTAATTACTGACTAGTCTAAGAGTTTTGAAAGCTGAGTAAGACAAATGCCAGGAAGGTGAAGAAACAGAGGGTAGGAGTCATCTATCCAACATTAGTAGATATGACCATTCCTACTATTGAGACTAAGCTAATGGAACTACTGGTGCCAATGACAGACAGAATCTGGTGAGGGCAATAGGAGGTTGGACATGATTCAGAAAAATGACGCTGAATATCAACACAGTTCGTGTTCATTTTTAAATCTTCGATTATGACAGAAAAAATGGTATTTGTATTGAAGCTCCCTCTCTGAGGAGACCTGTGTGGTGCTCTTCACCCGGAGTGCTTCAGGAAAGTCTGCGGTAAGAGAAAGCGTGAGAGAGGCCAGGAGAACCAGATAGGGTTCTACCATTTGCCCCTCTTGCTCCAGTCCTTGGGGGTGAAGTGAAGGCATTTGGAGTCGATGCGCAGGTGACGCTTCTGCATTGCTCTCTCATGCCCCTCCACTATGTCCTCCGAAAGAGTCAGGATATACTGGCCCTGAGAAGCCACAGGGAGAGAAGAGGTTCAAATATGCTGATCAAGATTACCCCTTAATTGCAAAAATGTACAGTGCTGAAGTGCTGTCCCCTGCACTCTGGTATCTCTCACCTTATAGTAGTTAATTAGGTTAAGGTACTGAAGTGTTGATATGACATCCTCTTTCTTGACGCTGGTGATCTCGCTGATGTCACTGGAAATACACAAGACGACATGATATTAGGTTACAGAAATAACAGCAACTTGCACTATTAAAGAGAACAAGCTGAGAGAATAACAGGACAGAGGTGTACTTGATGGTGATCTGCGGCCTCTCCCCGTTGTCAGGCTTAAGGTCCATGAGGATCTCCAGGATGGTCTGGGACCAGTAGGAGCGGTATGAAAGCAGCCCCAGGTCAGACAGAGGCTTCTCTGGTGTGCCCGTCTTCCCCTCTACCTTAGAGAGCTCATAACCTGATGACCAAAAGACAATACCTTCAGTTATGGCATACTGAATGGCCACATTTCAACACACTCCCACAGATTATTTTGACACATACACAGGTAGAAGTACAATGGTTGTACAGATGAACACCTAGATCAAATATTCAAATCCATGTTTTAAAGTCAGTTACTTCCTACTGGTTCACTTACTGAACTCAATGAGCAATTTGCCGTAGCCTCTCCGCTGGTAGGGAGGTAAGGTGAGGATACAGGCCACGTTGTAATCTTCCGTCGACTCTTTCTCCTGCGCACAGATAAAAAGGGTACATCGGCTGCATTTTCAAAATGTCTAAGGAGTTGGTTGTAATGTCAAGTAGTACATAGCATTATTGCTGATATTCAGGAGCAACAGGTTTAACTGCAAGCACCAGGTGATAAGAAGCATTTAATGTACCTTGGAGAAGTAGCCCACTATGTGGAAGCCCTTGGAGTCGTACTCTGTCATGACGTAGAAGAGGAAGGGGTCTGTGTCATAGTACAGGGTTTTGTGGTCCAGGAAACACTTGGCCAGTAAACACAGGTTCTGAGAGTATGTCTGGCAAACATGGAAGAAACAAGAGTTATGAAGCGAGAAACTCATTACATTGACGAGGTGTGACCAGGCAGCTGGGAGGATCATGGACATTACTCACTTTGTTTTTTCTGCCGTCTATTTCAAAAAAGGAGATGGTGCCCTTGCGGTAGATCTCATTGCCAGGTGGATGCCGAAGATTACACTTGGTCTGGATGAGAGAGCAGGAATAATAATGTGTAATGACATGCATACACAAGGTGGATCTGTATCCAAGTTCCTGGTGGACATGCAGCTGTGCCATATCCCTTAGCTCTGTCAAGCTGGTTGGTTGACCCCTGGTGTTCTGCAGCTCAAACACAATACTATGACTGCACAGCAACCCTCTCCTCGGTCTCTTGTATTGTTGGTACATACATTTCATTCAGATATTCCAATCTAGTATCTCACCAGATGCCTCTGCAGACACTTGAGGCTCTTGAGGTACTTGAGGCAGAACTCGCAGAGGTAGAGAATAGGCAATGTGGTCAGTTCCTGTGGGTAGGGGGAGAAGTACCAGGGCTTCAGCCTGTGGCGGCCCAGTTCAATGCAGTCAATGTTCTTCATACGCGTGACAATGTCGTCATGGCTACGGTCTGACACCAGACTGCCAGTCATGCGAGGGGCGGAGGGGATGCCATCAGAGCTGTCCTGCGAGTCCTGATACAAAATGGTAGAAAGGAGCAGCAGAATGGAAGAGAACGATATTATTCCATAATCTGATACATCGCTTAGAATCTTGTCAAAATAAAAGCCAATAAATAAAGATGAAATAACTGATTAAACATAGGGAGTTTTTACAGCAAAACAAAGCTAGACTGAGCATTCCTTACATAGCTCTCATATGAAATAACAAAGGTCTGATTGAAGGCCATAACCTTTAAAATAATTCCATAAACAAAGAGACACAGGGGCAATGAGAAAGAAATTAGACGGACCTCTCCTGGCGGCAGATAGACATTGGCACATCGAGGGCTGTTGTTATACTGGAAAACCTTTATTATCTAGCAGAAAAAACACAAGCGGATGAGGGCTTTTGGACACTGATTTAAGAGGGAAGGAAAATTATTATTTACACTGTAATTTTATCAATTCGGGGGTTAAAGGTCACCAGGGAGATTTCTGCATATATTATATTGACCTGTTCTTTCTTTCCTTGTTCATTTGGGAGGGATATCTTAACATTAAAACAGAAAGGGGAAGGCAATAATTCACAATAGTCGATAATTCCAGAATGCACACATAATTATGTAAAATGCAGTTTCGCCTTCTCACACTATCACTAGCTACAATGCTGCAAATAATATTGTTGAAAATGTGCTTGTGCCGATATCAATATTAAATTGACTTGGCTTGCTAAAACAGGCATCGGATTCAGATTACTGTCTAACTGAAACCATATAACCATGAAAGGTAAACCTATAGGACTAGGAAAGTAAGATCCTGCTAGTCAACGCTAATCTAGTATCCCGGCTCATACTAGTCTAGCATAGTAAGGGCCCTATCTCTAAGTGGGTACTATAATGACATCCATAACAAGTTCCTGTATTAAAATATATGTCTTCTTTGATGTATTCAAACCAAAAGGACGCTGACACAATTTCTGAAAACATAAGAATGACTTGTTGATGCCAGTATGTTGCTAAAGTGTGCTACTCTACAAATGTGAATGATGGGAGAAAATATGGTGGTCTACAGCTGAAATGAGGGCAACTAATGACTTGATTAAAGAAGCAATTCCCATAATCCCTAAAGTGTTCCATACCTCATCGGTTCCCCCGCAGTTGGGCGGCTGCTTCCTCTTCCTGCCTGGCTGATTGGGCATGGGGCGACGGGCAGTACCATTCTGGGATAATGTGAAAAGGGGAGGAGACAACAAATCAAACACCTACAGAGTAATAGTGGGAGACTAGAGATTGATCATTACTGAAACGCAAAATTATCAAGTGCTGGTTTACCGTGGTGAGAGAGGTAAGCTGCTCATGGTCATCGCGGGCGTTTGATTTGAGGATGAAGGTGTTGGTGTCCCTTACAGCAGGGTAAACAGACGCCTGGGAGGCTTCAGCCGAACCTGGCAAGGATGGCACGGGGGTTGCTGGGGACACTTGTGTTGCCAGGGACACAGACTCTGCTTTCCTCTTCTGTATGAGAGATGAGACATGGGCAGACATGAGAAAAAGCTTTGGAGCAACTGAAAATAATTAATCTTTTAAGATTATGTTGATGGGATTTCAAATCCCAACCATACCACGGGCATAACAGAGGTGTTCTAGTTATCTTTTACATTACCAAACAGTCATATTCTAGGTCTAGGACAACCCCCCCCCCCCAATTATCAATATCACTTACTTATAAATCATGCCCAGTGACAAGGCTAACAGACAAGCTAAATCCCTTCTATGCTCGCTTCGAGGCAAGCAACACTGAAGCATGCATGAGAGCATCAGCTGTTCCAGATGAATATGTGATCACGCTCTCCGTAGCCGATGTGAGTAAGACTTTTAAGCAGGTCAATATTCACAAGGCCGCAGGGCCAGACGGATTACCTGGACGTGTACTCCGAGCATGCGCTGACCAACTGGCAAGTGTCTTCACTAACATTTTCAACATGTTCTGACTGAGTCTGTAATACCAACATGTTTCAAGCAGACCACCATAGTCCCTGTGCCCAAGGACACTAAGATTACCTGCCTAAATTACTACCGACCCGTAGAACTCACGTCTGTAGCCATGAAGCACTTTGAAAGGCTGGTCATGGCTCACATCAACACCATTATCCCAGAAACCCTAGACACACTCCAATTTGCATACCGCCCCAACAGATCCACAGATGATGCAATCTCTATTGCACTCCACACTGCCTTTTCCCACCTGGACAAGAGGAACACCTACGTGAGAATGCTATTCATTGACTACAGCTCAACACCATAGTTCCCTCAAAGCTCATCACTAAGCTAAGGATCCTGGGACTTAACACCTCCCTCTGCAACTGGATCCTGGACTTCCTGACGGGCCGCCCCCCAGGTGGTAAGGGTAGGTAACAACACATCTGCCACACTGATCCTCAATACGGGTGCCCCTCAGGGGTGCGTGCTCAGTCCCCTCCTGTACTCCCTGTTCACCCATGACTGCATGGCCAGGCACGACTCCAACACCATCATTAAGTTTGCCGACGACACAACAGTGGTAGGCCTGATCACCGACAACGATGAGACAGCCTATAGGGAGGAGGTCAGAGACCTGGCCGTGTGGTGCCAGGATGACAACCTCTCCCTCAACGTGACCAAGACAAAGGAGATGATTGTGGACTACAGGAAAAAAAAAGAGGACTGAGCACGCCCCCATTCTCATCGACGGGGCTGTAGTGGAACAGGTTGAGAGCTTCAAGTTCCTTGGTGTCCACATCACCAACGAACTATCATGGTCCAAACACACCAAGACAGTCGTGAAGAGGGCACGACAAAGCCTATTCCTCCTCAGGAGACTGAAAAGATTTGGCATGGGTCCTCAGATCCTCAAAAAATTCTACAGCTGCACCATCGAGAGCATCCTGACTGGTTGCATCACCGCCTGGTATGGCAACTACTTGGCCTCCGACCGCAAGGCACTACAGAGGGTAGTGCGTACGGCCCAGTACATCACTGGGGCCAAGCTTCCTGCGATCCAGGACCTCTATACCAGGCGGTGTCAGAGGAAGGCCCTCAAAATTGTCAAAGACTCCAGCCACCCTAGTCATAGACTGTTCTCTCTGCTACCACACGGCAAGCGGTACTGGAGCGCCAAGTCTAGGTCCAAAAGGCTTCTCAATAGCTTCTACCCCCAAGCCATAAGACTCCTGAACAGCTAATCATGGCTACCCAGACTATTTGCACTGCCCCCCCCCCCACCCCATCCCCCTCTTTTTTACGCTGCTGCTGCTCTGTTTATTATTTATGCATAGTCACTTGAACTCTACCCACATGTACATATTACCTAAATTACCTCGACTAGCCGGTGCCCCCACACATTGACTCTGTACCGGTACCCCCCTGTATATAGCCTCCCTACTGTTATTTTATTTTACTGCTGCTCTTTAGTTATTTGCTTTTTTTTTTTTTTACTTAACACTTTTTTCATTTTACTTTTTTCTTTTAAAAAACTGCATTGTTGGTTAAGGGCTTGTAAGTAAGCATTTCACTGTAATGTCTACACCTGTTGTATTCGGCGCATGTGGCAAATAAAATTTGATTTGATTTGAATTGAATTATACATCTGTAGAAGTTCTTACATAAAATGTGGTTGTTGTTACTATTCAAATTGAGCTATGAACCCATTCTGACTTTGTGGACGAAACAGTTCTTAATCATGGCTGTGTAGAATGGGTAAATTGATGCTGTACCGGTGTGGGGAGGGTTTTGCCTCTGGAAGGAGCAGTGGCAGTTTGAAGGTTGAGATCTAGACTCTTCCTCTGAATTTGAACAGAAAGGAAGAAAAGGGGGATTAACTGATAGTCACACTCAAACCACCACAAGTACTGAGCTGTATTTTTCACTTGAACTTATGTTATTCATTGAACGTTGTAATAAAAGCATAATCAATAACCAGTCATGACAGCATATACTTGAGTAGATCAAAACAAAAACATACAGTTTGCACAGAGACACCTGAGCATGATTTAATACGTGCATTTTAAAAATAGAATGACCTAATAAAGGTCAAGACAATACAAACCTGTTGGTGTTTTATAATAAACTTAGGCTAAAACATGTGTAAATACATTTGTATATCATGTAACAGAAGAAATACAACCCCCTTATTTTGACAATTCTGTCTCTCATCAGAGGCAAGACCAGAGAAACATTATTTCACAGAAATCTTGAATTAAGCATTTCACAGATCTTTGAAATGATTCATGAAGCACACATTGCAAGGTCTTTCATTTCATCATGTTCATTGATCTAATTTCTCTAAAATATCATAGCTCCAAAAGACTGCAGACCAAATGTTGGTAATAACAATTGGGTTGTACAGTAGAGTAGTTGTTTAACAAAAATAGATTTCCAAAATCTCAGCATTAAGCACGACAGCAGGAAAAGAAACATTGGGTTATAATGTAGATAGCAAGCAACAGGGTACAATTCCCAGGATTGGGCTTAAGACACCACTACCAAACCTGAGCTTGTTGTTGCAACACTTGAAAGTCTGGTAGAGAAGTTTTGGTGGGTATAGACTTCTGCTGGGCTTGCGGCTGGGGGGGCCTGCTGGGAGTATGTTGGGTGCCAGCTCCGGCCGCTCTTACCACTTCTCTCTCCGGGGAGCTGGGCCGCGACCCCGGAAGCCCGTTCTTAGTGGGCGTTTTAGCTTCCTTCTTAGGGAACTGGAGCTTCTTCATGTCAAGCCTGTCCGGCGTAACCCACTCATCCAGACGCTTGTTGACTTTAAACACAAGCAGAGGCACAAACACATATACACACACCTGAGTTGACATCTAGTCAAATTTTTTGCCAATTTGACATTTACACATATCTGCTTCTTCTGTCCATATCACTAATGGCAATATTGGAGTATTACACTCACATTTACTCTGAATTACATGATGAAGTATCGGCTACTCACAGTCAATATAGTGGACATAGTAGAGTTTTCTCCCAGGGATCTCTTTCACACTAAGAATTTCGGCCAAGGCTGCAAAGAAAACATCACACGACATGACAGATCTAGAAACCTACCAATCTATGGGTCTCTTCGCTGTCTGAATTTATACATTGGCTACAAAGTTAGCTAGCAAAGTTGTTTTCGACGAAACACGACGACGTTAAGTTAAATGTAGCTAACTTCAGCATAACTACATAATCAAAATATGTATCTAGCTAACGTTAGTGCTTTCGTAGCTGATAGACAAATAGTAAACAATTGAAATCTCCATTAAACACAACCAGTGCCTTTGTTACCTATGTGTCACTACCGTAGCTAGCCGCTTGTGTTTTCAAACATTCAGTCATGACAGTTGTGTTATTATGCCGCTATTAACGTTAGCGCTAGCTACCCTAGTGGTAGCCAAGAGGACGATACTCACGCCACTCATCTTCGTTTTCCTGATTTTTTCGGAGAACAGGGAGCCTACAGCCCTCGACTACATCGACCTGTCGAAAGATAAGATATTGAAAATATATATTCACGAACGTTGAGGGCACACATCTGAATATAAACGTTGTAGTTGTATAATAATTTGGGACTATCGAGTACCCACCGACGAATCCGCCATTTTGGTCATCTGCGAATGTACAATGTAGAAGCGCGCAAGTAGTTATGGGGAAATGGTCTGCTCAATGTTTCTGGGTGTGTTCGAGGGAGTCCATTTTTTGTGCAGCATTGATGCTGGTCGTTTACTTCACTTTAATTAGAAGACTACTAAAAGTAGTGGCTACATGTACAGTGCTATGAAAAAGTATTTGCCCCCTTTCTAATTTGGGACAACCGCTTTTTTTATTTTTATTCCAGGTATTCTTAAAATTCAACACTGCCTATTTAAAGACAACAAAAGATAAATACATTCAAAGATGGCTAGAAATGTACACGTTTTGTGCTCTTGTAGGAAGCAAATCACCCACATTACTGACTACAAATGAGCTATAACTGGGCTAATAACTCACTTACTAGCAAAGAATATGAACAAATGTGCATGTGGCTACATGCGAATCTTGCTTTGATCTCAAAACAAGGCATAATAATCGTGACCTCTCATGCTGTAAAACAGTCCAGTTCAAAGTGAATGGCACAAATCCATTTATGGCAATGGTCTATTTGCATATAAGCCTACTGCAGCTCTGATTGGTTATGGCGCACCAGTCTGTGTAGAGTACAGGCCTGAGTTGTGCCTGTCAATGCAATAGAATCCTATTCCGATGTGTTCTGCCAACAACAAAGTCTCTTGCATAGTTTGTTTTGTTTCGGTATGTTGCATTGAATGTGGCTAATATTGCGTTGATTCGATCACAATTCCCACAGTAAAGGGAAACGTTGATAGTGTTAACTAACAAGGAAAACTCTAGAAAGTTGAGTGAAGTTCTTGTGATACTCTGCGCGGGTTGAAATTTCTTCTGCATGGCATTCCCGGTTAAGAGGACAAATACATTAGAGTGTCTAGTTTGAGAAACAGGCACCTCACAGGTCCTCAACTGGCAGCTTCATTAAATTGTACTCTTGCTCAGTTGTGCACCGGGGCCTCCAACTCCTCTTTCTATTCTGGTTAGAGCCAGTTTGTATGGTAATAAATTATGTATCATTAAGGCAAAATGTTGGGAAATGTCAAAGGTAAAATATAGTAAACATGATTGACATTTTATAAATCCAGATGCATGTCTAAATAAGGAATATAGCCAATACAGTGTGTAAACATGCTTTAATGAATGTATGTATTTTATTTTTTAAAGTGTCTGAGCCACGCCACCAATATAATGAGATAAGAGGAAGAGGCCATATGGAAAAGCGCCCATGGCCTTTTGGAGTAAGCCACATGTGACATCTGGACGTTGAAAGATAAGGGTAGAGTGGCACTAAAAGATGTTAATCATTTATCTTAAGGGGAGTAGCTTTGTATGCTATGTAAACATGACTGTGCATTTGTGTGTGTATAAAAGAGATCTCTGAGCCAAAGAGAGACAGCCGTTCCATGGAGTGGCTCGGCTTTGTTACGCAATAATAAAGTCTAATTTCTGGATTCACAAGCTCCAGTCTCGAGATATATTTTTGAGTTGACTACTTTTGAGTCAAATATTTCTACGACATTTGTACTGTTCTGTGAAGGGAGTAGTACACAGCGTTGTACGAGATCTTCAGTTTCTTGGCAATTTTTCGCATGGAATAGCCTTTATTTCTCAGAACAAGAATAGACTGACGAGTTTCAGAAGAAAGTTCTTTGTTTCTGGCCATTTTGGGCCTGTAATCAAACCCACAATTGCTGATGCTCCAGATACTCAACTAGTCTCAAGAAGGCCACTTTTATTGCTTCTTTAATCAGCACAACAGTTTTCAGCTGTGCTAACATAATTGCAAAAGGGTTTTCTAATGATCAATTAGCCTTATAAAATGATAAACTTGGATTAGCAAACACAACGTGCCATTGGAACACAGGACTGATGGTTGCTGATAATGGGCCTCTGTACACCTATGTAGATATTCCATAAAAAAATCAGCCGTTTCCAGCTACAATAGCCATTTACAACATTAACAATGTCTAAACTGTATTTCTGATGAATTTGATGTTATTTTAATGGACAAAAAAATTGCTTTTCTTTCGAAAACAAGGACATTTCTAAGTGACCCCAAACTTTTGAACGGTAGTGTATATGTATATATTTTTTGCCCACAAAACTATCTCTATTCGTTTGTATGGGTTACCTACAGACAAGTCCAGTGACACTTGTGGGTGTCGTAGAGCTAAACGGAGAACGCCATTGTGTTCGTGAGAGTCTCCCCTTTCCTTTCATAATAGTTTGTTATAGTTTTCCAAACCGTTCGGACGCTACATGTCTCATTGTCTGACAAACACCGCTGTAGCTCGGCCACCTTCCACCGCAGATGCGGAAAACTGACATAGGCGGATGCGGTGGATTGAGACACAGTTCACACAAAACTGATATCTCTAGCTTAAACTAAAGGATTTTAATGGGGATTTTTTTATTATGTTACTTAGATTGACGCACGGGTGATATAGATATGATAAAGATATAGAAGAATTTAACAAGATTCTTATATGTTCTACCTGGAACTTGTAAGTAATACATATGGCAGCAAATATACTTACAATATTCATAGAAGATTCTTGTAATATCTGAATTACAGTGTATGAGTGGGTAACATTTAGACATAACATACGTTTTGTGTGTATTCTATAAAAAAACATACCAGAGACATTTTAATTTAACCTTCTAAGGTCTCACATATTGATAGAAGAATTTGGTAAATTAATAATGACTAATTATTACACCCTGAAACTGTGTGAAAAGTGTTAGAATCATAAGACTATAATCTGATAATATGTGTAGCTTAGTTAGAAGTACAATGAGGCAGTCAGAATATTGTGAGAACGGTGATAACTGAGGAATGCAGGGAGTAAACTATGATAAGAACATATGTGTGTGACCTGATGGTTAGGAGAAGCAGAGGAAAACATGAGCTAAACCCATGTTTAGTGGAAAAATATAGCCCGCCTAAAAGGGGTGGGATTTTTGTATGACGTGTGAGTATAAAAGATGGACTCTGAAATTCTCAATGAATAAAGGCCTGACTATGCAGACCTTTTCTTGATCCAAAAGACTTACAACCTTTTGGGAGACGCACAGAGACACTGAAATAGTTAGTAAATAAATTATCTTAACACATATATGGGACATACACATTTCAAAGCACTTGCATGCCACTGTCTGACATCACTGGCGCACGCAACGACACACTAATTCAAGAAAGATGGAGAGTCCGCCGCGAGGAGAATTGTCATGTTTCTTTATATGTTGACTTACAGTGGGGGGGAAAAAGTATTTAGTCAGCCACCAATTGTGCAAGTTCTCCCACTTAAAAAGATGAAAGAGGCCTGTGATTTTCATCATAGGTACACGTCAACTATGACAGACAAATTGAGGGAAAAAAATCCAGAAAATCACATTGTAGGATTTTTTATGAATTTATTTGCAAATTATGGTGGATAATAAGTATTTGGCTCCTCTGTCCTCCACTCGTTACCTGTATTAATGGCACCTGTTTGAACTTGTTATCAGTATAAAAGACACCTGTCCACAACCTCAAACAGTCACACTCCAAACTCCACTATGGCCAAGACCAAAGAGCTGTCAAAGGACACCAGAAAAAAAATTGTAGACCTGCACCAGGCTGGGAAGACTGAATCTGCAATAGGTAAGCAGCTTGGTTTGAAGAAATCAACTGTGGGAGCAATTATTAGGAAATGGAAGACATACAAGAACATTGATAATCTCCCTCGATCTGGGGCTCCACGCAAGATCTCACCCCGTGGGGTCAAAATGATCACAAGAACGGTGAGCAAAAATCCCAGAACCACACGGGGGGACCTAGTGAATGGCCTGCAGAGAGCTGGGACCAAAGTAACAAAGCCTACCATCAGTAACACACTACGCCGCCAGGGATTCAAATCCTGCAGTGCCAGACGTGTCCCCCTGCTTAAGCCAGTACATGTCCAGGCCCGTCTGAAGTTTGCTAGAGTGCATTTGGATGATCCAGAAGAGGATTGGGAGAATGTCATATGGTCAGATGAAACCAAAAAAGAACTTTTTGGTAAAAACTAAACTCGTCGTGTTTGGAGGACAAAGAATGCTGAGTTGCATCCAAAGAACACCATACCTACTATGAAGCATGGGGGTGGAAACATCATGCTTTGGGGCTGTTTTTCTGCAAAGGGACCAGGACGACTGATCCGTGTAAAGGAAAGAATGAATGGGGCCATGTATCGTGAGATTTTGAGTGAAAACCTCCTTCCATCAGCAAGGGCATTGAAGATGAAACGTGGCTGGGTCTTTCAGCATGAGAATGATCCCAAACACACCGCCCGGGCAACGAAGGAGTGGCTTCGTAAGAAGCATTTCAAGGTCCTGGAGTGGCCTAGCCAGTCTCCAGATCTCAACCCCATAGAAAATCTTTGGAGGGAGTTGAAAGTCCGTGTTGCCCAGCGACAGCCCCAAAACATCACTGCTCTAGAGGAGATCTGCATGGAGGAATGGGCCAAAATACCAGCAACAGTGTGTGAAAACCTTGTGAAGACTTACAGAAAACGTTTGACCTGTGTCATTGCCAACAAAGGGTATATAACAAAGTATTGAGAAACTTTTGTTATTGACCAAATACTTATTTTCCACCATAATTTGCAAATAAATTCATAAAAAATCCTACAATGTGATTTTCTGGATTTTTTTTCCTCATTTTGTCTGTCATAGTTGACGTGTACCTATGATGAAAATTACAGGCCTCTCTCATCTTTTTAAGTGGGAGAGCTTGCACAATTGGTGGCTGACTAAATACTTTTTTCCCCCACTGTATATGCAGAAGCATAAAAATTGTATCCACGAGTGACTCCGGAAAAGTAGATAAAGGGCTTCATTGCCAAAATCCTGAAGTATCCCTTTAAATGGTCTTCAGATAAACATTTAAGTCATAATTAGTTGGGCCAGGCCCTGGCATATCATCAGACTGCATACACAGAAGCACTGAACACTGTACGCAAGTCATACTATACCAATCTCATTGCAAATGGTGAGGGGAACCCCTGATTGCAATTTTTTTGTTGTAAAGAAATTAGTTAAACTCCCAGATCCTTTACCCCCTCCATTGAGCAATGCAACAGTTCTTTAATTTCCCCAATACAAAAATCAAGGACATCCTACCAACCCACACGCGCACTCGTTTCCACCACAACAGGCCACCTTGTCATCCCCAGGTCGAAGCTCCAGAACTTCAGCGACAGGGCCTTCTCCAGGGTTTCTCCTAGGCTCTGGAACTCCCTCCCTCCAGCCATCTGTGAGTCCATCACTACCCCCCCCCCCCCCCCACACACACACACACACAAACACACACATATACAAGCTAAGAAATACACTACAAAGACCCTTTCTTCACCATACTGAGCAGCACCTAACCCAAACCCTTACCCTAAACCGGGTTCGTATCCTAACCCCAATCCCGCCCCTTATCCTAAACCAGGTTTGTATCCAAATCCCAACCCTCCCCTCCCCATACACTGATACATCACACTCTTTCCCTTCTTTGAGCCCACCTCTCTCTTTACTCACATTCTGATGTTTTGTTTTGACTCCAGTTTTTCCAGGTTTTTTTTATTTCTACAATTGTAAAGCAATTTTGGGTCCATGAAAAGCGCTATAAGTCCCATATATAATTATTATTATTATTATTAGAACAGCTAAGTGTGTTGTTAGATGCGTTCTTTCCCTACCGCGTCACTTTATACACAGAAGATCACTGCATAAAATAAATATGTTTATCTGTTTCTCGGTGACCACCCATAACTTCACAACGAAGTTGACTACAAATACAAAGTTGCCAATGTCTTTGCAATTGTTACAAACAAGCTAAGCATAAAATGATGCTTCAAATGAAAACCGAGATCACTGCATTAAAATATAAATAGCCTAGCTACAGTATAGGCTACATAGGCCTATGTACAGTATTTCATGTTCATTCAATTTGGTTTTATTTTACTATTTGGCTACTTCCTGTAATTTTTGCCTCAATATATTTCATGATATGTAGCCTAATGTGCGTAATGATGTGCCAAATATTGATTAAGTGCATTATTATAAGGTAAGCAAGCATTAGAATAAGCCACCTCAATATTTGCAGCCATGGGTGATAATATCTCTCTAGGAGCTGACCCATTGTCAGTATTGTGCAGTATTGTACAGTACTCCACGTCTTCACCCCCCCCCCAAAAAATTGTAAAGTGGTTATCCCACTGGCTATAGGGTGAACGCACCAATTGGTGAGTCGCTCTGGATAAGAGCGTCTGCTAAATGACGTAAATGTGCCCTTGAGCAAGGCACTTAACCCTAATTGCTCCTGTAAGTCGCTCTGGATAAGAGCGTCTGCTAAATGACTAAAATGTAAAATGTAATGTAAATGTAAGATTTGAATGGAGAAAGCTGATCTGAGAGCAGCGCTCCCTTTCTTTCGATCCTATCAGTATGGACACACGCTCCAACAACGCACTTAACGACCGTTCTCTCTTCGTGGTGTTTTGGGAAACACATGTTATATCTTTGGCCGTTGTAGGAAAGATGCACCGTAAAATACTCATAAGTTCCATCGCTATTGGGAAACCAGGCCCTGGTCACACCAGTTACAAACCTGTGCCCCTCAGCTCTGGAATGCTCTACCTGCACATGTCAAGGAGGCAGCTACAATTTCCTTGTTTAAAACAACAACTAAAGACCTACCTATTCAAGCTAGCTTTTAAAATGTGATCGCTTAATCTGTTTAAAGTTTATATTTTGAATTGGTAGGTTATGGTTTTTATGTATTGTGATAGTTTTTCTACTTTTTGATGTATTGTTGCATTGAGCCTGGGAAATGCACTTTACAAATTAAATATGATTATTATTACATATTTGATATAATACAGTAGACAGACCAAGTAACATATGAAGAAACATAATTATGCAGACAGTGAGACGCGTACCTGTTGAATATCCCAGTTGACATTCCACTGCCTCATGGTGTTGTATCTCCACATCTCCTGTGCTGAGGTCAATGCGGATGAGACGGTTGTTGGTGACGCCAAGGACCTCATCTTTACGGCATCCCTTAAACCTGTGTTTATACAGGAAATGTGTCGAATTTGGGTAATTTCAAGTGAGATCACATTTAGTGCTATGTTGACAAGGAAGATAGCTGGAAACTATTTGACAAAAAGACATGTACTCACCTCACCACAAAATAAGACACCCCAAAGCCAGGTAGAGCCTGCCAGATCTGAAGAAACCTGAGGAGAGCATCTGTTACAGGGAGCTGGGCCACATTCTGATGCGAGGAGTCAGCTGACAAAGCAGTGGAATGGTTAGAATCACTGGAGTCTGAATGTTATTGTTTGCTTCTCTTACCATACATTCGAGTTCCGCCCAGATCACATGACTCTTACCTGTTTGGCCTTGTACTTTTTGTGGTAGCGTGGGGATACAAGGCTGTGTGTGTTGATGCTCTCATCAGTCTGAGCAGTATTGACCCTGGGGGTGGTTTGCTGCATGGCCAGGAAGGACTGGATATTCTGCACCTCATTAGAGAAGGAGCTGCCTGCTAGTTTCTTCCCCTTGGAGACTAAACGGCAAGCTGCCATCCACCTGCTGTACTGCAGCTCCTAGTGGAAGGGGGAGGAATGGACATATGGAAAGAAACCATAGCATAGCATGGCATAGTGGGATATAGTACATTGATTTGTAGGGTCAGGATGACACTGAAGAGGAAACTGTTCTTGTAGCAGTTGGGTCTATTCCTTGGGACAGGTTATATATAGTGGGGAGAACAAGTATTTGATACACTGCCGATTTTGCAGGTTTTCCTACTTACAAAGCATGTAGAGGTCTGTAATTTGTATCATAGGTACACTTCAATACTTATGTCATGCAATAAAATGCAAATTAATTACTTAAAAATCATACAATGTGATTTTCTGGATTTTTGTTTTAGATTCCGTCTCTCACAGTTGAAGTGTACCTATGATAAAAAAATTACAGACCTCTACATGCTTTGTAAGTAGGAAAACCTGCAAAATCGGCAGTGTATCAAATACTTGTTCTCCCCACTGTACATGTACATGCTCCGTGTAGCTCAGTTGGTAGAGCATGGCGTTTGCAACGCCAGGGTTGTGGGTTCGATTCCCACGGGGGGCCAGTATAAAAAAATAAATGTATGCACTCACTAACTGTAAGTCGCTCTGGATAAGAGCGTCTGCTAAATGACGTAAATGTACATAAATCAATGGTAAAATTCTATTAGCTTTTTATTTATGGAAAGAGTGCTTCCAACAGAGTGAGCTGAGAGTTGTGTTCCTTACATTTTCACAGCGTAGGTAGACCTCGTTCATGCCCTCAGCCCCAGGGATCAGCAGCCTGATGCAGAACTTCTGACCAGCCACACTAACGTCTGGGGCCACCTCACAGCCTGAGGAGCACAGTAGTTCCTTATGGGACCAGTTTGGACTCATTTGGCTTATTAAAGTCACCAGTGAAGAAACCTCATTATATCTAGAATGTCCTTTCTCATGCTCTATGTACTACACACCTTTGCATGGGTTTCAACTTGTGTGGTTGTGGTTGTGTGTGAAAATATGGGCTGAGTGTACACTATGTGCATGTGGGTGTGCATTTTCACCACAGTGAATGTCAGTACATTTGACCTTTGAGGCTCTCCTCTTTACTCTTGTAGTAGGAGATGGATGTGTTGTTGAACGCGAACCAGAACTGCTTATAGCCCTTTAGTGTCAGTCTCTTTGGTCTAGGAGAGAGTGAGATGAAACAAACTAGAATGCTAAGGTTTTTCAGCAACATTGGAAAGGGTACGCAGTTGTATGTCTGTATGAGTGAGCATGTAAATATAACCGTGGCTGCGGTTAGAGTGTGTTTGCTTGTGTGTGTGTGTGTGTGTGTGTTTGTGTGTGAGAGTATGCGTGTCTATAAAAACTCATCCAGACTATCAGAAAGTCTCATATCTTGTGTGATCGATATTCAATCTAAAATCAAAGGCAGGAAAAGGTTGTCACTGGCAGAAAGATGGATGTGAGTCAGAGGGTGTTCAGCCAGCCAGCAGTGATGTATGTTGTCAACCCATCTTACCTGAAGATTTTCAAGTAGTCATGCAGCTCTGGTGCTATCCTCATTGTTTCCTGTGTAGAGATAAAACCATGTGTCTATTTTGTGTCATGTGCGGTTGCAATTTAACTTTTTCCATGTCTGTTTTCCTGTGTCCTTACAAATCATCCATAACCACCGCTACAGACCACTACAGTGTGGTGGAGATTCAGAGGGACTAACCAGCATGTGCTGCTCTCCTCTGCATCAATCTTCACCTCCAAACACTGAAGGGCAGAGTCAAGGTCATCCATGGCAGGAATTGATGTCATCAGCTGGGGCTCTGACACCTTACCAGTGTAGTAACCCACACAAAGCAAATGCACAAACTTATAACAGTGTGAAAGAGAAGGGAAGCAATGTGTCATAGACAGAGAAAAACCTTTGGGGACATTTCAATCAGTTTTGTTCTTGTTGTTTACGTGAAGGGCAGCAAAGAGCATAATCTCTTCCTCTGTGCAGTCAACATCCTCCAGCAAGATGGCCCAGCGAGCCTGCTTATACATCTGGGTCAGACGGACTGCATCATACTGGAGATGGAGACAAGGTAGACAAAGTGACCGATTACACATAGCCCAATTCATGGCCACCATGAGGTACAAGAAGGAAATAATTGATGGCTCTTCAGAAAGCGTGGTGCAGGCCTACCTTGGGCTGCAGGTAATGGAAGCAGTAGTATTTGAAGCGTAGCAGCAGTCTGTCATGCTCCTGCACTCCCTGTTGGAGCAGGGAACGAGATGAATCCAGCCATCTAAAGTCAACAATAAAAAACATGTAATTAATTTAATTACACTCTGTTATTTTTCGCTAACAATACACTCACTATCATACAGAGTAACATTCGCATACCTAAATATATCTATGTGTGTTGTGCACACACAGACTCTCACCTGCTGTGAACTTGGGCCTTGTCCACAAGGCTGGTGGGACGGGGCATCTTGGTGATAGTCTCAGGAGCAGGTGTAGGTAGACTGACAGACAAGATCTTATACACAGCATCAGTCTGAGGTGAGTCAGCAAAGTGCACAGGCATGCCATTGGACAGGGTGTTAGCTGGACCTGTCATTTTTACACATGTAGTTCTGATATGTTAAATATTTGGTACACTACCAGTCAAACGTTTTAGAACACCTACTCATTCAAGGGTTTTTCTTTATTTTTACTATTTTCTACATTGTAGAATAATAGTGAAGACATCAAAACTATGAAATAACACATATGGAATCATGTAGTAACCAAAAAAGCGTTAAACAAATCAAAATATATTTTCTATTTGAGATTCTTCAAATATCCACCCTTTACCTTGATGACAGCTTTGCACACGCTTGGCATTCTCTCAACCAGCTTCATGAGGTAGTCACCTGGAATGCATTTCAATTTACAGGTGTGCCTTCTTAAAAGTTTATTTGTGGAATTTCTTTCCTTCTTAATGCGTTTGAGCCAATCAGTTGTGTTGTGACAAGGTAGGGGGGGTATACAGAAGATAGCCCTATTTGGTAAAAGACCAAGAACAGCTCAAATAAGCAAAGAGGAACGACAGTCCATCATTACTTTAAGACATGAAGGACAGTCAATACGGAACATTTCAAGAACTTTGAAAGTTTCTTCAAGTCCAGTCGCAAAAACCATCAAGCGCTATGATGAAACTGGCTCTCATGAGGACCGTCACAGGAATGGAAGACCCAGAGTTACCTCTGCTGCAGAGGAAAAAGAGACTTGCTTGGGCCAAGAAACACAAGCAATGGACATTAGACCAGCGAAAATTTGAGATTTTATTTGTCTTTGTGAGAAGCGGTGTGGGTGAACGGATGATCTCCGCATGTGTATTTCCCACCGTAAAGCACAGAGGAGTGTTATGGTGTGGGGGTGCTTTGCTGGTGACACTGGCTGGGATTTATTTAGAATTCAAGGCACACTTAACCAGTCAGGCTACCACAGCATTCTGCAGCGATACACCATCCCATCTGGTTTGGGCTTAGTGGGACTATCATTTGTTTTTCAACAGGACAATGACCCGACACACCTCCAGGCTGAGTAAGGGCTATTTTACCAAGAAGGAGAGTGATGGAGTGCTGCATCAGATGACCTGGCCTCCACAATCCCCCGACCTCAACCAAATTGAGATAGTTTGGGATGAGTCGGACCGCAGAGTGAAGGAAAAGCAGCCAACAAGTGATCAGCATATGTGGGAACTCCTTCAAGACTGTTGGAAAAGCATTCCAGGTGAAGCTGGTTGAGAATGCCAGGAGTGTTTAAAGCTGATTTGTTTAACACTTTTGGCTACTACATGATTCCATGTGTTATTTCATAGTTTTGATGTCTACACTATTATTCTACAATGTAGAACTTTTGACTGGTACTGTATGTATAATAACTTACTACACCCCACGATTAAAAGATAAACAACCCTGAGAAATTACAAAATAGATACAGTATATTTTTTTATTGCATATGAGTATCTTAAAATATACTCCCAAGATGGAAGTTGAAGTGTACATTGGTAGGGAACTTACGTGTCTACAATTTTGACAATTTTGACTATGACACCACCAATATGCAGGTCTGAGGTCACGGTAACTTTGAAAGGTGGGGCCTCTAGGCCAAGCTACTCCACTGTCACTGACAGATCCCAAGCAGCCATACTTAGAGGAAAAATATAGCACTAATCTTTTATTATAGGTGTCAATTTTGATAACTGATGCTTCATCATAGAATTAACAATCAATTCACTTGTTTGAAGACGCTGTATTATTAAGTGGTAATACAACCATTTTGCATTATGCCACATTTAAGACAGTAATACACATCAACACATTTTCAACTCAAGCAAAAACTCATTTTTCTTGGAAAGTAAAATGCTGAACTCTGATAGAGTATGGTTATTTATAACAGACAAAACTGTGGAACATGGTAATGCACTGAATCAAACCACAGGTCAAATCTTAGGCAACCGTCGTCTTAGCCATTACCCACATTAAAATCTCTTGTAATAATGTCCTCCACCAACACATAATTATAAGATAGAGCAAAATCTTATGACTTCCTATAAATGAATGACCCCTTTCTCAGTCATATGTTCAATAACCCAATACCCCTATCCAAGCTTTTATATCTGCCCCTCCTTTTAGGATAAGGCCAATTGGACTTTTAGATTATCATAGGCATAATAAAATGTTACATCAGTAAGCTACTATTCAGTGTGGACAATTCTATTCCTCTTCTGTGCCTCAACATCACCCGGTCTGTCTCCATTGTCATACCAGTGTCTCTACTCCCATACCTAGTTGTAGTCCCAAACAAAATGTATTCAGAGTCAAACACCAGGTGCCCTCAGTCTCTGCCACTGTTTGGTGGTCTTTGCAGCTTGTGAAATATCTCGGTCACTTCCTCCTGTCTATCTCCCTCGGTCTTAGTGGCTGCGGTCTTCTCCTGTGTAAATGTCAAGAGATCGATGACTGTTCTGCTTTCACATACTATCAGGGCTGTGTTGTTGTTGTTTTAAAGGGGGAGTTATCATCACATACGGTTGCTGAGCAACTATTGTTTTGACAAACATGCAAGAATCATTTTCCATGTGTAAACATACTGGTATAGTTATAAGAACAACTTGATTAGTTGCCTTCTAAAAAAATGTATTCTACCATAAAACAATTATAATAATGAAGAGATAGTTAAAGATGCAGTCCGGGATCTTAAGCGCTTATACTTTTGTAAAATATTGTAAGAATTGGAATTTGTAACATTTTTAGCAGGACGTATCATATCATACTAAATGGATGACGTAGTACACAATTTTCAGGGACACGCTTTGGCTCGAGCACTACTTTCAAAACTACTGGCAAAAATTATACAAAAGCTCTGGCACAGACACTCCTGAGGGCTTGGTGTGTAAGACCCTCTAGTGGTCAATTACAGGTTAATAATGAGATGCAAGGTTTGTTTTCAGAGCATTAGGCATTGAAAAAATAATTTTCATACATTAGCAAAAGTGGAACATGCTTGTTGAAGGGTTTTCCCCAGTGTGGAGGAAGAAAATAGAAGCAGAAGGACGCATAACCACAGACAGATGAATTTTGAAATACATTCAGATATATTTTGCAGAACAGGATTAATTTAACTTGTACATCACACTTCTTGGGCTTTGTGTGTGACCAACATGTGTGAGAGTGCCACTTCTGAGAATGGGCTGGTTGTGTAATCACAGGACTAAAATATGCTCAAATCTCCCACATTTGTATTCTACTTCAATTTAGTGGCACCCAGTGTCATGAACTCCAGCAGACCAATGGCTATGGTGAGATGCTGAAATGAAAAAAGGACGCTTGAAGGGAACAGTACATATTATATTAACACAACCCTCCCCCCATTACTCTTTGAAACCAGACAAAACATCCATGGGTATGACATCGCAGGCCTTCAGGAAACAGTGTCCTGCAGTTGTTGGCTGGCAGCCATTTTGTGCCCCATGTGAAGCAGAAGAGCTTTTATACAAAACACCAACTACAGAGGATACTTTTCCCGGCTCTGTATTGTCAGTCAAAGGGGTTTAATGAAGGGAGAAGATATTAAATGTTCAATCACCTTTAATCCAGTTTGAACACCTGATCCCAAGATCAGTACTTACAAGACCGAACAACATTTAATTCTAAAGATCTGGAAAGCACAGTAATGTGAGATTGTAAGCCCGTCATCTGTACACCAGTAGCACAACTACATTGACCTGAAGTTATGAAAGATATCCTGTCCGGGAGGGTGGGAATCATCTTAGTCAGGCACCCTACATAGATATTGACTGGCTATCTGATCCAAGCAGGAACCAGCCGTTTTTAAATACGCAAAGGAAGTGAAAAATGAAGCAGTCATATTGCACCTTGACATCATTGTTCAAACACCCAACAGAGACCACAAAATAGAGCATTACTTGTTTCGTTATTTGCTGAAGTACTTTTGTTATTAGCTGCAGTGTCATTGTGCCAACCAAAAGCTTGATACCTTTTCCTAATCAAATTATTTGTTTCAGAGAGTTCTCTGATGAGGAAGAGACTAAGTACAATTTCATTAAGGCCGTAAGATGGACAAAGTAAAAATGAAGTTTCGGCAAGATGGCGTACAGTATAATTTTGAGGGTGGAAGGGGGTGTTGTTATAGCTGGAGGGAATGGCATCTTGATCCACTGTGTTCTTGCTGTTCTTCATGGGGTCTGGGCCTGTTCTCTCCTTACTCATCACCGGATGGCTATAAGTCCCACATCTATCAGTTTCTGGATCTTCTGAGCAATGCCTGGATTCTTAAGGTGACTGAGAGGGTCCAGGGAGAAATAAGGAGGGAAAACCTATCAACTTCAACTTCATTTCAAAACTAATTTTGCCAATTAGTGTGTGATTATGGTGCATGTGTTGTATACTATGTACATAGTGTGTGTGTAAATGTGCATGTGTAGATGCACAGAGCTGGCCCGCTTACTCGCTGAGTGCCTGTGGGTCCTTCTGCATCTGCTCCAGGATCATGCGCATGGCTGGGTCACTCATGATCTGCTGCACCTCCGGGTCAGCCATGGCCCTCCTCTTCACGTCCTCTGGACTGTCGTCGTTCCTCACGTGCTGGCTCATCAGGCAGCGCTGGATGCCCTCTGTGGCCTCCTGCACCCGGAATGGAGAGCCAGATAGACAGTTCAACTGTTAGCCTCAGTCTTGTCAATGACAAAAAACAAAAAAAAGTTAGAAGAACTAAGAGCCATGGATTCATATTTAATAGATACTTTTAGGGCTCTATTTTCGGCGTTAAGTCGGCTCAATTGTCAAACGCACGTTAGTTTGCAATTTCGACCTGTTAAAGCCAGCACTCCTCTAATTTCAAACCCTATCGCCAGAACTGGTAATTTACCTGTTTTATATGAGCTCGTTTGCGCTGAGGTGGGAGGGTTGGCAATATCTAAGGTGTTTCCTTAAAATCATGCGCCAAAAGTACCAATTTCAGTATGCACTGGTGGGGATATTTAAGACCAACCGAAAGCTGGTCTTAGCGGTAACGCATGGATTTTGACAACGGAAGCACAGCCTATCCAGCCGCGTCGCACAGTACCCATATGCACATTGAAAAAGAGAGATGTGCTTTTTGTGCCCGTAAACCTTGTACTTAGAAACATAAACTAATGTTTTCCCCCATTTTGTTTCATATGATTAAAAACCAAGCATAGCCTGCCCTCCTCTCAATGAAGGCTGTTTTTTTGTCATGCCCAATGAATTCTCCAAGTAGTCAAGACTATCGATAAAGGGTTTGGCTTGTGAGACCACTTTGAAATAAATCTTAAGTCACCAAAGCTTTATTAAAAGATCAAGTTTGGCAACAGCAGTAAAACAGTGAGCGAACGTCCCCTTTTTATCCATGTAGGCTTTACATCATTTTAGCCAGCTCCTGTTATTATTTTGATGTGTGTAAAACCCCTCCATGTAGGTTACATGTCCATCATGGAACGAGAGATGAGACAATCCGGTGACACTGGTATGTAGAAACATTTAAGTGACTTTCCTGTAACAATAGCGTTTTTCCATAAAAGGTTTCTAAATTGTCTACTCGTGAGGCTTTTACCGACCTGCTTTTGCATTATTCAGAATTCCCATAGGCCTAGTTGCAGTGCATACTCCCTTCAGCTGGTATCCGACCCCAATTCCAAAGAGCGCCTCTTGTCCGGTTACCAAAGATGCGCTCCTCCAAACACAGGCTATAAGAAAATGGTGCATTCCTATAGCACCATACCAACGGTAGGCCTAGGCTAAATCTTGCTCATTGAGAACGTGCCTTACATATAATATAATTTAAGGGAGCCTAGTATTTTGGGGGGGGGAGAAGTGCGATGCGTAAAGGCCTACACTCATTGAAGTCAATTACAACAATGTTGACTGTCAACACTCCAAACATATTGAGCAAACAATGGATGTTATAAAAATAAAATCACTCGTTACTGTAGCCTACGCTATTTAATAAACTGTCATATCAGTCCACAATGGACTAGGACGAGAATATCCCGTGCCCCGAGCTGAATTGAAATTGACAACACAAAGACCGTCAATAACCTACAGAACTTGAGACAAACGCATGCAGTATTAATTGGCCAGTGAGTGGCCAAGTCCTCGTCACACCTACAACTTGTTTATTCATCAAAACCCAGCTCTTTCGCACTACCGCCAGCTATTGTGCTCATAATATCGGCTGTGAAAATAACTCAAATATTTCGGACACCCCCCCCCCCCCCCCCCCCCGGACCTATAGCGCTAACGCCAGCGCTTAGATTTACCATTGCGTTTGTTAAAACAGAGCCCTTAGTTTCTTTTACCGTTGGTTGGTAAAGGAGATCCTGCTAGTGCGCCAATATAAATCTGTCATACTGTACCTTGGAGGTAGAGTCAAGCTCCAAAGCCTTCTCGTAGGCAACCATCGCTTTAGTGAAATCTTTCATGGCCTCCAAAGCTGCTGCCTTGCGTGTGTATCCCTTTACTGTGGAGAGAGAAGTTAAATGAGGTGAGATCTATGCTTTAATCCTTTTAAAGGGCCCACGTTTGTTACAGTTCAAACATCTGTAGTCATCTCCTAGCATATGAATCCCCGAAATCATTACATTCAAATCTTAATGGATTTCGTGCACGTTAGCTAAACGCGTTCCTTAATTTACTGGTGCGCACTCTGCAAAACGGAGTTGCTTGCATGCTTTTTTTTAATGAAATGGGCTTGTAAGGTAAGCACAGGCTTGTAAGGTACGCATTTCACTGTAATGTCTACACCTGTTGTATTCGGCGCATGTGGCAAATAAAATTTTATTTGAAAGCGAGAATAAATCAATATACCAAATATATGAATGCATCCAAAGTTAGAATGCATCACACATTAACCGGAAACAAAGTAGCAAATATGTAGGCTACAGATGAGTTGGCATTTCAGCCGCAAATACATTAGAAGATAATTTTCAACCCAATCAGAAACATTGTGGTGACAATCTTACTTCCTAAATGGTATCACTGACGTGTCTTGTTGAATATGGGTACTAAAGATTTAAATTACTTCCATCCATTTAGATATCCCGTTCACACCACACACATTTTTATTCGCTCCATACATCAACTGTCAACTGTTTTCCACCTTTATAGATTATAAAATTGTGGACTACCTTCCTGTAATGTCAACAACCCAAATCAGTAATTGCCTATGTCCTTTTGGTGTTGATAAACTCACAATTGCTATTCCAATGGTAGTCCAAAACACTGCAGCTATCGATTGCCCCAGCTGACCATTGTCATGTAGCCTATGGCTAATCTATGATCTATAGGGTACCGGACTTTGGATGCAAACAAAGTAGCCGCCTATCACTTTTCTGATGTAGGCCACAATGTGATACACATACAGTATGTGACGTTCAAAATTTTCGGGGGACCCTTTTTGGGTCTTGAGAACTACTTTCAAAACGACTGGCTTAAAAGTTGACAAAACCTGTATAACGCATCTTTAACACAAATGTAAAGCGTTTTCAAAGCTCAATACGTACTGAAGGCAGGATCAAGTTTGATACAGTCCTCGCAGTCCTAGAAGAGAGGAGAAATAAAATATCAGTCAGTCCTTTTTGACTGATAAAGTACTACAGTGGATATAATATATAATCAAGCTGGTGTTTCTAAATGAGTAATGACGAGGATGAAGCTCATGTACATGCATGGCACCACAGTAGTGAGGTGTGCTGTACCTTTAGGGCAAGCTGGAACTCCAGCAGCTTGGTGTAGCAGGCAGCTCTGTTGCTGAAGAGCTTGGCGTCATTGGGGTTCCTCTTGATGGCCTCAGAGTAATGTCTCATGGCTGAAGGATAGTCTCCTGTTGAACAGAGGATAAAACACAGCATGTCAGATATCCTGACACAACCAGGGAATCTTTGGAATACACGCACAACTCAGGGCTGCCAACTTTTGAAGAAAGCTTGGAGTGAGATTTGCTATGTGAATTTCATTGCCCCCTGGCACAACCCATAGAGCCGAAAATGTTACTGTGTTAGAGCAAATTTCCTGCAATTCTACGTATTTTGACATGGATTAGGCCCATGAACCACAGGTCAGGCGTATTCAGGATACTTTGAACATTAAACGAACACAAAATTTGACGACTTTGTTAGAGATTTTGGTGGGAGTACATTTTTTAAAACCTTGTTTTTTAGGTGCTTTGACACTATATTTTAGACAGTAATGAGATGGGGAGACAGGCAAACGCTAGAAGAAGTGGGAAGGTTGGAAGCCGGAATTGATCCCCGTTCTCAGGTGGAAAGTTGTATGCGACATTTCCCAGGGAGTATTAACACTGTTACAGGCTTTGGTTTTTCCATTTATATATCGAGGTTGGACGTTAGCACGTTAGCACTCGGGGCGCAACGATTGGTGTCACCTCGTTAGTCAGTATGTGTTCCACCTGTGCTGGTTTGTCATCTCGTTAGTGGGAAAGTGTTTCACTTGGGCTGGCCCAGGTGATATTCAAGAATGGCTGGCCCAGTGCTCCTTGTCTTGAGAGATGTGGAGGATTAACACCTTTAGTTGTCTCTCCCTATTTGATTTTTACAAACAATCCTTTATTTGATGTTCCCTGTTGCTCACTTTTTCCTGTCTTTAAGTTTGGTGTGGGTTTTTCTTTTGTTTGCCTCTTCTTGGGCAAATTTAGTGGCCGCTCATGGTGGGTGTCTTTTCGGTCCCAGTTGTTGTTGCTAGTCAACTTTCAGTGGACACCCCCATGAGTGTCTTTCAGAACCCCTCCTAAAACCCCACCTGTTTCATTTTGGTTGTGGTCAGTGACTCTGTTAGTTCCCCCTTCTGTTCTTGCTGGGGAACATAACACCAAGGCTCTGCACAGGAAATAATATTAATGGTTGATGGCAGTGGGTAACCAAATTATAGATTGCAGTCTCCTTGTCCATAGACTGCTTTCAAGGTAAGGACACAAACATTTTTGTAAATTTTGTGAACTCTCTCTTTAAAATAGGTCTGGAAGAAAATCCTGCTAGCTCTCCAGGAGGGTTGGCCACCCCTGATCTGTTTCCCAAGTGCTGGGTGTTTGAAAATGTTCTTGTTATAACAATACATTTCTCAAAATCACCCAACCTTAAAGAAAAATCGAATGAATATCAATATTCAGGTGGTTGATGCCTACTAGTTAAAGACCCTTGCCATAGACAGAATGATGCATTTATGAGTCCCCCTACCATCTCTGCCTAGCATGTGCACAGTACTAAAATGTCAAATTATATTTGATTCCTGGAGCATTTGATATCCAATGCTTATTTGTATGACTTATTCAAAACTGTCCATGAATGGCTGCAATAATAAAGCTTAATCATTAATTTTCAAAGACACAATTAGGCATATCAGATTTCAAATATGTGATTACAGTGGCAACATTGGGAAGTGGAATAATAAAATAATTGTGGGGAATAACAGTAGTGTTCTTGCTGACAAGTACTCTAATTACCCTATTTTTTTAGCCCATTGTTAAGAATGAGAATTGTTCCACTGATCAGACTAAATAAAAGTAAATACACTGAACAATTTTTTTTTACTAAACATGTAAAGACATGTAATCCATCTACCTGACAGGTGTGGCATATAAAGATGCTGATTAAACAGCATGATCATTACACAGGTGCACCTTGTGCTGGAGACAATAAAATGCCACTAAAATGTGCAGCCACAGATGTCTCAAGTTTTGAGGGAGCATGCAATTGGCATGCTGACTGCAGGAATGTCCACCAGAGCTGTTGCCAGATAATTGAATGTTAATTTCTCTACCATAAACAATGTCGTTTTAGAGAATTTGGCAGTACGTCCAACCGGCCTCACAACAGCAGACCACGTGTAACCATGCCAGCCCAGGACCACATCCGGCTTCCTCACCTGCGGGATAGACGGAGACCAGCCACCCGGACAGCTGATGAAACTGAGGAATATTTCTGTCTGTAAAAAAGCCCTTTTGTAGGGATAAACTCATTCTGATTGGCTGGGCCTGGCTCCCCAGTGGGTGGGCCAATGCCCTCCCAGGCCCACCCATGGCTGCACCCCTGCCCAGTCATGTGAAATCCATAGATTAGAGCCTAATGAATTTTTTTCAATTGACTGATTTCCTTATATGAACTGTAACTCAGTAAAATCGTTGAAATTGTTGCAAGTTTCGTTCATATTTTTGTTCAGTATAGATAATAGAATCTCCTGAAGACAAGATGACATAGATCTTCCCCTACACCCTAACCAAATTATTTTTCTATTTATTGTCCCCCCTCTAGAATCAAACTTACACTTTTGGGTTCACAATCTGTTTGACAAAATTATTTTCATAGTTACAAACTTCCCTCTTAAAACATACTGTAGTAGGTCTGTCTGCTGCCTTTTCATTTTCCCAGCCTAAAAGCCATTCTCGAAATGAGGGGACTAATGCAAGTGTCGATTTAAAATCGGCTTTAGTACATTCTGTCAAAACGCTGCATTCTGCAATACGGACGGGAGAAACAGCAACCTAATTTTGTTGACAACATTGTACATAAAACAGCGCCACCGTGCTGCTCTTTTACAGTTTTATAAACTCAGCGGAGAACATTCTCGCTCTCCGTTCAGCTCCAATCTAATCTTGAGGGGCGTTTCTTTAAAATGCGCATCCCATCCCCTTGATCTCTTACATAACTAGACCAATCTTATGCTTCAATGTGCCACGGTTCACAGTGCTGTGGCAAGACAGGACAATGATAGAGGTTCAGCTCGTGATGTCAAGTTGCGGTCGCAGACGCTCTGATTTCAAAATGATTTGGAGCACAGTTGAAAAGTTAACGCACCATATACAATGGACTAATTAGACAAATAAAAGCAGTACTTTCCAATGCGTGAGATATAAGAGGTGTGGCGTGAGAAGGGTCAAATGTGTCTCTCACGGCCAATGCGTGACAGTTGGCAGCTCTACACAACTGCTTGTTAATAATCTAAAATGGTATGCAGACAACTAGAGAAACCGTACCACTAAGCGCACAAATAGGCTTGACATATACTTTCAACCATTGTAGATCCTCCATTTCACAAACACACACCTTTCTGGAAGGACTCGTTGCCCTTGTTCTTCTCTTCCAAGGCCTGCTCTGGGTTGATGTAGGCCAGCTTCTCTTGCTCCTTCAGTACCTTCTCCGCCTGCAGACACAGTGAAGGGATAGTGACACAGTGACGGGATAGTGACGGGACGGTGAGAAATTGATTGGTTAAAGAGCATAATGTATCCTGTCAGCCCTCATTCAATATAGGCAACACTCTCTGTACCTGCTGGCACTTCTTAAGGACATCAGGAGTGCGATGCTCTGTCAGACTCTTGTTGTAAAATTGGACTGCTTCTTTGTATTTCTCTTGCTTGAAGTACGAGTTGCCAATCCTAGCCAAGGCCCTGAGAGATAGGGAGAGAGAGACATTAAGCATTGAGTGTATGCACTTAAAATTAGAAAGCTGGATGACTCATGCTCTGACATTTCATTTCCCCGGTTTGTAGCAGAGCCCCACCGTTACCCAAATGTGACCTGGCAATAGTGAATACAAGGACTTAATTGGCTACTTATTCAGGAGACCTTATCTCCCCTCATCCCTTGATTGTTTGTCTGCAGCAGACACCTAGCAGTTTATACCCTAGAGGGTGACTCACATGTATCATTATTTTCAGTGAATTGAGAAGGAACTCACTTGGCAATGTGTCTGTAGTCCTCCCGGTTCTCTCTGCCCACCTCGATGGCCTTGTCACACAGCTCCCTACACTTCTCATACTCAGCCTTCTCAAAGAACACAGCTGGGATGGACATACAGAAAAGGAGAAGAAACACCTTAGAAACCAATGCAACTAGCTCATTATCAATCAGATTTTAAAGATCATAAAAGCATGCATATCAAAATCATATTACATTGACTTCATGATGGTGACATGAGATGGCTTCCATGGTAGGAAAAGCTCTCTCACTTGGAGAGTTATTGAGTAGATTGTATAGCCTTTTGACAATAATTATTCTTATAAACCGGACAAAACTATTCTGCAAAATCACTTGCTGAGGACCCACATAAAATGATCAAATGTTATGCTGCTTTATCTGCCCTTGATCGAATGGAAATATACATTTGTACCCAGGATTAGGGGGCATAAATGTTCACTCAGTTAATCACATGATTCTGTTCAAGCCTATTAATTCCACAGCCAATTAGTAATATAATGGATAAAACTTTACATAATTTTTTTCATATACAGACTTCTGAGATATGCAACACTGTGGATAGTTAAACTGTAGTTTTACCCCATTTTAAGTTTAAAGCCTCTCCTAAAACCATATTTAAGTCTAAGGCGGCAGCTGGAGCGAGTTGGGAAGATTCTATAATTCACTCACACACTATTGTCTCTGTCTGTTGTGTGTGTAGTGACGATTCTAAATAATAATAATATGCCATTTAGCAGACGCTTTTATCCAAAGCGACTTACAGTCATGCGTGCATACATTTTTTTGTGTACATGTGGTCCCGGGGATCGAACCCACTACCTTGGCGTTACAAGCGCCGTGCTCTACCAGCTGAGCTACAGAGGACCACGATTCTATACCTGCTTGGTTAGAAAGATATGTCATGTTGGTTGGGTCGTGCTTGAGGGCTTCTTCATAATGTTTCAGTGCAGTGGCAAAGTCTTTCTTCTTGTATGCCTCATTCCCCAGGTCCTTCTCCTTCAGAGCCTGTGGAAGCACAATGGACATTTAAGCTGTAAAAGACAAAGTGCTGAGAGGGCAATAAATACAGCAATTCAGTTTGGGTGCTGAGAGGAGATGCTTGCGTGAATTACCATTGTCCCAGACTGTGAAGGTCTATAGCCCTCAAACGCAACTCTGGACCTCAAAGCCAGTGCCACTAGGTTTTTTAGTTGTTCCCTTCTAATCAGGGGAGCACCCAGACTGATTTAGACCTGGGACACCAGGTGTGTATGCAACTAATTATCTGGTAGAACAGAAAAGCAGCAGGCTCCGGACCACATAGGGTAGGAGTTGAATACCCCTGGTCTATAGGATTACTTATAATGCAATCTATTTACCTGTCTCTTGTTCTCGGGTAAGTCTTCCTCCTTGGGAGGAGGTGGCTGAGTCTCTTTGGGTTTGGGAGGAGGGGGTGGAGTGGGCTCTTCGTCTTCATCCATGCCTGCCAAGTCTAACCCCAGCAGGACTGACAGGGTGGTCATTACTCTAGGGTCCTGGAGCTTTCTACAGGTAGAGGGACAGAGGCAAAGAGTGTATTTGATTCAGATCACAGAAAATCACAAATTAATTTAGTGTTCTGGGGCATATTACTAGAGTCAGACAGTCTGGCATGATGATCTTTGTGCTGAATTCCCTTTGCATTAGGAAGGGGACTGTGAAAACCAGTATATTTCTGAATGTACAGGTGCAGTGCAACAAGACAAGTGGTATCCATGGAAACACTCACGAGCCAAGCTCAGATGGTTTATCCCTGAGCTGCTCCAGAAGCGCTCTGTACTCTGGATCTTTCATCAGGGCATGGGTTCGAGAGTCACTCTCCAGCTTCTCAAACATGTTGGGCATGGCAAAGGGGTTCATCATCTTTTTTTCTGGTGAGGCAAGATTAGGTGAAATTCACAACAGGCCAAATAAAGCATGGTGCGTAAACAAGATACCATTGTGTTTTCTTTATAATCATGTGAGAAAGTGTGACATGTTCAAATGTTTTTACCTGCTAGCCGGGCTTCTATGTTCTGCAGCCCCTCTTTGAGCTGCTGATTAGTGGGTTCGTGTCTGAATCCCTCTTGGTAAGTCACTTTGGCATCCTCAAACCTTCCAAGAAACTCCTGGGCTGCTGCTTTCCTTGAGTACCCCTGTGCAAGCAAAAATAATGCTAATGGAGGCATGTCACTTTTGACAACAGCTAGTGCAAATCAAAGCTTCCCTCACTGGACAACTGTGATATGATCTCACCTTTCCCCAGTCAGGTTTGATCTTGATGGTCTGACAGGCGTCCTCTAGAGCGCTCTTGTAGTTGCCATTCTTGGCATGGGCAGCCGAGCGATTGCTGAAGAGGACATGGTTTGAGGGGTCGAGGGCCAACGCTTCGGTGTAGCAGCGTATGGCCTCGTCGATTTTCCCTGCACTCAGTGCCTTGTTGCCCTGATCTTTCAACTGTGACACCTGTGAGTGGAAAAAAAGGACTTGATTAAATTCACTTTACCAAAATTATAAATATATTGCCCAGCATAGTACTTCTTTACTTGTCAGTTTAGTAAAACAGCTTTCATCTTGATTTGGCCAATTTGAGATCTATAAGCAACAATCTGATTCATAAAGCAGACAAGGTCTGTAGGAACCAGCTGTCAGGTTTAACCCATCCCAAGCCAGTCACCTGTTCCTGACACTTATATGCCATGAGGACGATCGCAGAAACCTATCCTTTACCATGATGAACATTAGCTATGTTTCAGCTAAACCAATGTAGACATGGCTAGCTAGGTTAACTCATATTTTAAATGTGATTTACTGAGATTAACTACTGCTATATGATAACTAGCTAGTAAGTTTGATTTCTGACTGACTTGTAGTCCTGCCCAAGGCAAACTGTTGGCTAGCTAGCTGGTTAACTTGCCAGCCATGTCCTATAGCTAGCTAACCAGTACCCAAGCTAGCTAACTGGAAACTGGAAAAGCTAGCTAGCTTGATAGATATTCATGTTAACGTTAGTCAACTTGAATTAGCTAGCTACCTAGCTAGCAGTAATGTTAGCCATTTCAGAGCATAAAGTAATCGTGCCTGCACTTTTTCCCCCCTGATCGACAGAACAGGCCTATGTTAGCTAGCTATATTAACTAGCTACAGTACATACATAGCTAGCTAACTACTGATAGCTATCTAATCGGCTGGCTAAACTGGCTGGCTAGAGACTTTACCAATACTCACTGTAAATTACACTCGCTCTGGACAAAAATATTTGCCGTCTAAATTAGATACGATTGTAAATACAATTTAACTCGCTTGTTAGCCAGCTAATAGGTAACATTACCGGTTAGCTAACAATAGCACTTGAAGTCCGCATAGGAACATATCTAGCTACTGCTTTCTGTCAAATAAGGCAAACACTCCTATTGACCACCAATACCGTTACACAAACGGTGAGACAATATTGCAAATATCGCAGAGAAAATAGTTTTTGACCATAACATTGATGACAATTGCTAGCTACTCACTTTCTCCATGTTGTAACCATGAGGTTCCAGAAACTACTGTGAGACGACAGGATGAGAGCTCCGCCCCCTGCAGAATATGAATCTATTTGCCAGATTCTTTGCAAGAAAAATTGAACTTCTCTAAATCCTCAGTGTCAGTTTCCTCTAAATTGGTTTGTCTTGTTTGTATGGTATGTAGCTATTAGAAATGTATCAATATAAAAGATGAGATTGAGAACCAAACTGTGCTCATACTCTAATTTTATGATATCTTGGCTTGCATGGCAACCCCAGTGCTTTCCCATATATTTCTGTTTATTGCGTACTGGTGTATGATTGGTTCAGTTTAGTTCATCGAGGAAATCTCAGCAAATCAAAGGCTTGTTCGCGTTGAGTACGATGAGTAAAACAAGCGTCAAATTACCTAGTTCTAGAAGGCTCTGTATGGTTCATCTCCTTCCAATTATTTCTAGATCATTCCATCAAGACATATTGCTAAACACTTGTGGTTGTTCATATCAATCATCAGTTGAGTGTGATATGTTGTCAGTTGACCTGATATGACATTTACATTTTACATTTTAGTCATTTAGCAGACGCTCTTATCCAGAGCGATTTACAGTTAGTGAGTGCATACATTTTTCATACTGGCCCCCAGTGGAAAACGAACCCACAACCCTGGCGTTGCAAGCGCCATGCTCTACCAACTGAGCTACAAAAGGAACAAAAGCACAAAATGATTTAGAGCCAAATCTCCTCTTAGAAAGCCCTGAGTATATAATAAAGAATGGAAACTACATGTGATGCAGGAAAACTTAAATCTGTTTTATATAATTTCTAGGAGCATGTCACATGTGCAACCAGAGGAAAAAAACTCTAGACCACCTTTACTCCACACACAGAGACGCATACAAAGCTCTCCCTCCCCCTATCCATTTGGCAAATATGACCATAATTCTATCCTGATTCCTGCTTACAAGGAAAAACTCAAGCAGGAAGTACCAGTGACTCGCTCAATACGGAAGTGGTCAGATGATGCGGATGCTAAACTACAGGACTGTTTTGTTAGCACAGACTGGAATATGTTCCGGAATTCATCCGATGGCATTGAGGAGTATACCACATCAGTCACCGGCTTCCTCAATTAGTGCATCGACTTCGTCATCCCCACAGTGACCGTACGTACGTTTCCCAACCAGAAGTAATGGCTTACAGGCAACATCCGCACTGAGCTAAAGGCTAGAGCTGCCACTTTCAAGGAGCGGGACACAAATCCGGACACTTATAAAAAATCCTGCTATGCCCTCCGACGGAAACACAGCCGCGAGCTGCCCAGTGACACAAGCCTACCAGACGAGCCAAATGCCTTCTATGCTCGTGGCTGGGTTTCCCTTTGTAATCTGTAATAGTTTGCAAGCCCTGCCACATCCGACGAGCGTCAGAGCCGGTGTAGTAGGATTCAATCTTAGTCCTGTATTGACGCTTTGCCTGTTTGAAGAAACACTGAACCATGCATGAGAGCAACAGCTGTTCCGGAAGACTGTGTGATCACACTATCTGTAGCCGATGTGAGTAAGACCTTTAAACAGGTCAATATTCACAAGGCCACAGGGCCAGATGGATATCCAGGATGAGTACTCAGAGCATGCGCTGACCAACTGGCAAGTGTCTTCACTGACATTTTCAACCTCTCCCTGACCAAGTCTGTTATACCTACATGTTTCAAGCAGACCACCATAGTCCCTGTGCCCAACTACGCCAAGGTAACCTGCCTAAATGACTACCGCCCCATACTGTAGCACACACATCCGTAGCCATGAAGTGCTTTGAAAGGTTGGTCATGGCTCACATAAACACCATCATCCCAGAAACCCTAGATCCATTACAATTTGCAATGATGCAATCTCTATTGCACTCCACACTGCCCTTTCCCACCTGGACAAAAGGAACACCTACGTGAGAATGCTGTTCGTTGACTACAGCTCAGCGTTCAACACCATAGTGCCCTCAAAGCGCATCACTAAGCTAAGGACCCTAGGACTAAACACCTCCCTCTGCAACTGGATCCTGGACTTCTTGACGGGCCAACCCCAGGTGGTAAGGGTAGGCAACAACACATCTGCCACACTGATCCTCAACACGAGGGCCCCTCAGGGGTGCATGCTTAGTCCCCTCCTGTACTCCCTGTTCACCCATGACTGCGTGGCCGAGCACGACTCCAACACCATCATTAAGTTTGCAGATAACACAACGGTGGTAGGCCTGATCACAGACAACGATGAGATAGCCTGTAGGGCGGAGGTCAGACACCTGGCAGTGTGGTGCCAGGACAACCTCTCCCTCAATGATCGTGGACTACAGGAAAAGGAGGGTCGAAGACACACCCCCATTCACATCGACGGGGCTGTAGTGGAGTGGGTAGAGAGCTTCAAGTTCCTTGGTGTCCACATCACTAACAAACTGTCATGGTCCAACACACCAAGACAGTCGTGAAGAACACCAAGGTAACCTGCCTAAATGACTACCGACCCGTAGCACTCACGTCTGTAGCCATGAAGTGCTTTGAAATGTTGGTCATGGCTCAAATCAAGGCTGAGCACACCCCCATTCTCATTGACGGGGCTGTAGAGGAGCAGGTTGAGAGCTTCAAGTTCCTTGGTGTCCACATCACCAACGAACTATCATGGTCCAAACACACCAAGACAGTCGTGAAGAGGGCACGACAAAGCCTATTCCCCCTCAGGAGACTGAAAAGATTTGGCATGGGTCCTCAGATCCTCAAAGTTTTACAGCTGCACCATCGAGAGCATCCTGACTTGTTGCATCACTACTTGGTATGGCAACTTCTCGGCATCCGACACCAAGGCGCTACAGAGGGTCGTGCGTATGGCCCAGTACATCACTCGGGCCAAGCTTCCTGCCATCCAGGACCTCTATACCAGGCGGTGTCAGAGTACGGCCCTAAAAATTGTCAAAATCTCCAGCCACCCAAGTCATAGACTGTTCTCTCTGGTACTGCACGGCAAGCGGTACCGGAGCGCCACGTCTAGGTCCAAAAGGCTCCTTAACAGCTTCTACCCCCAAGCTAAACAGTTAATCAAATGGCTACCCTATTTGCATTGACCCCATTTTTTACGCTCCTGAGTGGCGCAGTGGTCTAAGGCACTGCATCTCAGTGCTTGAGGCGTCACTACAGACCCCCTGGTTCGATTCCAGGCTGTATCACAACCGGCCGTGATTGGGAGTCCCATAGGGCGGCGCACAATTGGCCCAGCGTCGTCCGGGTTTGGCCGGTGTAGGCCGTCATTGTAAATTAGAATTTGTTCTTAACTGACTTGCCTAGTTAAATAAAGGTAAAATAAAACATTAATATCTATGCATAGTCACTTTACCCCTACCTACATGTACATATTACCTCAATTACCTCAAATAATCTGTACCCCGCACATTGACTCGGTACTGGTATCCCCTATATATATAGCCTCTTTATTTTGTTTATTTTTTTTTGAAGTAGCAAATATTTTCTTACTTACTTTAAAAAACACTCTGTATTGTTGGTTAAGGGCTTGTAAGTTAGCATTTCACGGTAAGGTCTACACCTGTTGTATTTGGCGCATGTGACAAATAAAATTTGATTTGATTTGATTCCTTTCCTATGATGTAAATAAATACATTAATTACTAGCAATGAACACATGAGAAAATATTGTAGTACCTATAAACTAATTTAGAATAGTGCTATACATATTCTAGTGTTTTAAAATAAAAAACATGCAAGTTGTTTACTTTCATCAATTAATCTGAATGTATACTTAGAATAACATTATTACAAATCTATTCATATTATCATACTGTCTTCAATATTTCTGATGGGTGTATATCCTATTTACACATGAAACACACGGTATATTCAACTTGAACTCAAAGGGGTAAGGATTTTGTATTTTGATGTCACATAGACATAATAGGTAAACAAGTAGCCCACACCAATGTTTAATGTAAGTGTTAAGGTGATCTTCCCGTTACTAAAATCAACCCTGTAATGGCCATATCCTAATTCATCATGATAATTGTGATTACCCGCCCTTATACGAGACCATCGCAGCACCAGAGCTGCCTGATTGAGCTGCAGTTTTTATCTCAAACTGCTTACTGGCAGCACAGGCCTTTAATTTCACCCGCGCCAATCAATACTATAGGCAGAGTGGCTCCTTACATACGAATTTGCTAAACGTATGATGTGTTACGAATTCCAATTTGTTGTGGCTAATGTTAGCTAGGGGGCTAACGTTAGTTAGGCTAGGGGTTAGGGTTAGGGGTTAAGGTTAGGGTTAAGGTTAGGGTTAGGTTAAAGGGTTACGTTTATGGTTAGGGGAAGGGCTAGCTAACATGCTAAGTTGCAAAGTAGCTAAAAAGTAGTAAGTAGTTACAAAGTTGCTTATTAGCTATAATGCTAAAATTGTGTATGATGAGATTCCAACACGCAACCTTTGGGTTGCTAGACGTTTGTGTTATACATCCACCCATCCACCCCGACCAACCTAAGTAACCTTCTGTCTTATCTAACTTTACCAAACCTAACATATCATGCTAATTTAAGTGTCTCGGATTTACATTTACTACGTTATGTCTAGTCTACGAAACCAGGCTGGTCATGATCTAGGATCTTTGATCCTTTGCGGTGCCTTGCTGCTGAGTTGCAGTTAGCCCTGTATGTCAGCAGATGGCAGCAAGAGCTTAGCATACACACTGCCTTGCTGAATTAATTAATGCTAGCCAAAAGAGATGTGTGTGTGGGATGTTGGGGTGAGGGGGACCTAAACCATGAACGAGGCTGTCTCCTGCTGCTATACGTCAGTAGTCTAAATGCTCCCATCCTAAATGTATTGTTGTGTCATTCCAAGCTCTTTCTAAAACCCACTGAATAGCTTTTCAGAAAAAAAGAAATGACAATGTCAATTACAGAACTGCAGAGATGAAGAATAGAGTCAGGGTACTGGGTTTGGCTCTGCATGAGATAAATACTATTTT